TTCAAGTTCAAGTTCTAAGTTCAAGTTCAAGTTCTAATTTCAAGTTCAAGTTCTAAGTTCAAGTTCAAGTTCTAATTTCAAGTTCAAGTTCTAAGTTCAAGTTCAAGTTCTAATTTCAAGTTCAAGTTCTAAGTTCAAGTTCAAGTTCTAATTTCAAGTTCAAGTTCTAAGTTCAAGTTCAAGTTCTAATTTCAAGTTCAAGTTCTAAGTTCAAGTTCAAGTTCTAATTTCAAGTTCAAGTTCTAAGTTCAAGTTCAAGTTCTAATTTCAAGTTCAAGTTCTAAGTTCAAGTTCAAGTTCTAATTTCAAGTTCAAGTTTGAGAAAATAAAGAATATTTTTGAATCTTGTGGTGATGAACTAAATATGTGTAATGCACTAAAATTCCTTTTGAATTTCGTGGTCTTAAATATACCGTGTACGATATTGGGTGTAAAGAGTGACTGAATAAAGAAAGGCATTCTTTTGAAACATATCTAAGCAAGATAAACAAATTGACATGGAGGGAGTCTTTTTTATTGTCCACCTATCTATACATACCACCATAACACAAATAGGTAGTATTTCTTATCCTACTAGACATGTAGATACCACCATAAGACACTCTTTCAAACCTACATTCTGCAATTCATGATGCAAATAATTCGACCAAACAGAGCAGAAGAGTGTTACTGGAACAAGAAATTAAACTTCCTACCTGTTGCACTTCATTAAGGTAATTGAGAGCATGATCAGATGAAGCAGGGCATGCAACTACAACAATTATAAAGTTGTATAACCTGCATAAAAAGATGTAGTTCTTCGTAACCATAAAAGTTTTGTTATGCAGGGAAACACATCTGACATTATTTTCCTTATTATAATATCTACATAACATATAGTATTTTAGAGTAATCTCAACAAACTTCTATGTTAGAGTGATATACAAGAATGTATCACTGTACTCCTACAACTACCTAATTCAACAAATGGAGCTATCTAGCCAAATTTAAAAGTAGAAAGTGTAGTTTCAATTATCATGAAAGATATGCTCCATTCAAAATTGTAAGTGAAACATGGTCCTTGACATGAAAAAATAAAACGTTCCCAGTTAATTCATTAGTCTATATGTATATCACAAAAAAAGGGAAGATAGGATACAAAACAATCTAGCCAAAGAGGAATAACACAATCAAGTGGTTAGCAAAACCAGAAAAAGGTAATAAAAACTAAGGAAAAGTAGTACTTAAAAAAATATGAACTTACTAATTGTGTTGGACTGAAGATGTCAATGAAGGTATGGTTTGACTTTACCGACATTAACCTATTCTTAATAAGATGTACATAACTATTAAGAGGAAATAAGAATGTCGACATTGCGCTTGCTTTAGTGTGGGAATGTAACTTCTTTTGGAGGACCCTCCTTTGAGCTTAGCGGTCTACCATTTCTTATCTCAGAGAAATGTACAAAAGATTAAAGTTACGGAGAGTAAATCTAATGATATGAACTTGAATTTCAATAGGACAATCACAATCTAAGAGGAAAGAACACATAGACACCACGAGTGTAATACTAACTGGACTGAAAGAAGCAAAAAGTTGCATACCACAACTCAAAAGAACTCCAGCAGTAGCTAAACAAAAGAATCAACCAAGTAGCTGCCCAATGCCACTGAAATCATAAGATAAAATTAATATAACTCAAAGAGTTAAAGTAAATTGACTAAAATTGTATATTATATAAAATAGGTATATCAAACTTTCTAAACATTTTTGTACAAGTGCTTAGTTGCAAAAAACTTTTTTATCAGAATTTCACCTTTCACTGCCCTCAATACTTAAAACTATCCAAAATTTTAAACTTTCACTGCTTTTAATTGTTTATTCTTTTTCTAGTACTCTCTCATTTTCATTCATAGACCTCAAATCTTAGTATCAAACACTTTTTAAAAATAGTATATCTTCAATAAATCTCACCCTACTTGTATTGCTAATTAAAGGTCTCTAACCACAAAAGTCTATTTCCAAATAATTGGACTTGGTGCTAAAATAATTGCTAACTTAAGGTCATTCTTATGCCTTCAATGTAAGGAAATTGGGTTCATTTACATACAGAGCCAACAATAAATTTCACCTTCAATGTTACTCTCTGTTTGATTTAAGAACTTCAAATACAGAGACTAATAATCGAAATCACATGTTCAACCAACAAAAATCAAGTTTTGAACTAGTCTCAATTCATTTATGGTGGTGTATAGATGAAAAAAGACATAGAACTTACCTGCAGACGGGGAAGACGAACGAGCAGCGACAATCGATGGCAGCAAGCGCGATGCCAGCAGTGGACGCTCCAGGAAACCTTTGGATCTCTCTCGCATCTCAACTCTCAATCTCAATCTCAATCTCAATCTCAATCTCTCTCGCTTCTCAACTCTCATTAACCTCTCAGCAGAACCTTTAATTAAAAACCCTAGACACCCCCAATAAACAAATACAATGTTTAAGTAGTATAAATTAATGAATGGTTCATATATTATAAGGAAAATGAATAAATATATTCATATTTCGAGTAAATATGCCCCTGAGTGGTTTTGACAAATAATGTTTATTTAATTTTTTTTATTCACAAATTTACATTTATCGAAGTAAAAAAAATGGTGGTTTTTTAATTCCAAAAATATTACGTGACATTAAAAAATTAACCTAATAATTTTTTACCGCTTCAAATTAAACACGGTTAAAATAAAAAATAAATAAATCAAGTCCTTACTATTTTGTCATAAAATATATTTGGGTCAGGTCTAAATAACAAAAGGATTAGGTATTTTTAGTTGGATTAGGTTTGTATGGGTTTGAAGGGTAAAAATTGAATGAGCTAAAAATTAAGCCCCTTGATATTTTTGAAATTAAAAAAAATCAGTTTTAGGAAATATTTTTGTTAATTAAGTTTGTTAACGAAAAAGGTAAGTTTGTATGTCTCATTAGTTAGACGACAAAGGTATATATGCATCACTTTTTTATTTGGTCAACTTTTTCCCTATATTATGTATATCTAAAACATATTTTCAAAAATGATTTTATTATTTTTATAAGTTAAATACACAAATCAAAAAGTTAAACTTTTTTATTTGGTCAACTTTATGATTTTACGGGTTTTTATTCTATATCACTAATTATTTCAAAATCTTTAATTATTATTGTGATAAATGAATTTTATTTTCAATCAAGTAATCAAATATATCCCTAAATAAGTTTATTTAGTACTCAAAAGTGTTTCATTTAATAAATACGTATAAATTGAAATAAGAATGGGCCTAAATTGAAATAATCACTTGCGACTAAATTGAAATTAGAGGCTAAAATCGAAAGAAAATTGCATAGAAAGAGGGCTAGAATTGAAATAAATTGGAATAGAATGGACTATAATTTAAATAATTTAGAGGAAGAATAAGGAAATGCTATCCGATTAATAAATACTACATATTAAAATATTTTGACACATTATTAAAAACATCTAATATTTTAAAATATAAGTAAAGTAATTATTTTGAGTTTAACTATCGATAAATATAATAATTTAAAAATAATAATATTTTTATAAATCATGCATACTAAAATATATAATTTTTTAGACAACCTTAATTTTTATGATTTGTTTTTATTTATGTTCTTCAATTGCAATTTCTTATTTTAAAAAAATAGACGTGTGCCTGTTAATTAAAAAAATTAAACATTCGCGAACGAACATAAAAA